TAAAATGGCCGCTTTGCTGTTGATTTTATTTTGTTGTATTTTTAGAACAATTGGTGAGCAAAAAATACCAGAGGTAAGTTATTTTTAAATCGATAATACTTAAAGATTATTTTTAATAAGTCCATAATTACTGCTAATTATAATTTTCATTTGCAATGAATTGGACGATGTACAATTTTTTTATTAACAAACGCGTCAAACATCACCTACCAGTTACAAACAGAACGTAACACACAGACTAATTCTTACTATGCAAACTAAATGCATATATTTCATAGAAAAATCGAAGTATTTCACGTTAATAAAGTGCATCTACACCCTAAAAGAAAACGACATTTAACAGAATTTAGCGAGTAAATTACTGGACCCAGATAAGCAAAATGGCGACGACGCCGCATAATCAAATCCTCCACATTTCGGACACAATTATCTTGTAATCGTTTCATTTGCTAATAGAAAATTTATCTATGAAACTTATTATTTATGATGTTGTCTTTATAAAGTATTCTGATAATAAAGCAATTGACTAATAATTATCCTTTGACTTTTGGTCTAAGAAATTGTCAGCATTCTTATAAACATTTTACGTGTCTTGTATATTTGATGCACTACAACATACAATATTTAAAATATAAAATAGTAGAGCAACTCGAACTATTCGAGTGGTTTCTTAATACTTTATTTTACTGCCGGCGCGGCTCATAAAACTCCGAACGAACGCCACTATGTTGCTGGAATACATTTTTAAAAGCCAGCCAGCGTTTGTGGTCGAAACTGGCGTTGGTTTACAAAGTGACCGGCCGCTATCTCTAGAGACGAGCTTGAATGGATTTGTACGGACACACTTAGAGTGAATTTTGTACGCGACAAAATGTCGAGTTTTATTTCGTAGAATGTAGAGACTTTTTAAAGTGTACATATTACATGCAAACACTTAACTAAATAATAACTTAGCATGTTAAACATGTAAACAGTCTTAAAGTAAAAATCTGATCTAGAAGGTATAAAATTATTTTAACACTGGCTGCCTGAGATTCCGTCCCCGTGGAGCAAAAAAAAAGAAATAAATAGCCTATGTGTTCTTGTAGATCCACCCAAACTTTCGCATTAGTAAGATTATTGGTTTCGAAGACAAGCGGGTAGTTAGGCAATTTCTTTAGCGGGTGAGCGTTTCGGTCTCATTTGTAATTATTGCTACAGTAGAACGAGTTCTGATCTTCAATATATTATTAGATTATATCATTACATAAAAGGATTCACTAGCATTTATATGACTGCAGCCACGGCCGAATGCGATAACATACATGTAAAATACGGAACATATTTTACTAATTTTAAAATCAGAACACGAAATCTAACCTATCCTCTTTTGTTTTTTTTTATAAGAGACAAACAAGCAGCAGGAAAACAGTGTTCATTTGTTTTTAGATAAAAAATAAAACAAATGAAATCATGACCAACTTGTAAATCTGAAATCTCAATATCAAGGTCACGGAGGTCACATCTTACTAATATTATAAATGTATGGATATTTGTTATTACTATTGAATCGAACCGCTTAATAAATCTTGCTGTTTGAAGATCCAAAACATAGTGTAGAAAACACAGGCTACTATTTTTTTAATTCCCATAGTCTACATAACCTTAGCCTAAAGCATATGCCTGGTCGTTAAAAAAAGTTGTAATAAAAATTACAATGCCTCTATGATCTCTTTCGTTTTTAAACTACGACACACAAAACATAATACATCGCAATATAACAATGACGTCATCAGAATACAATTTGCGACGTTAATGTCCTTTTTATATTTCGAATAACATTTTATGACGACATCGATTTTGTAACAAACCTCAAATAAGATTCAAGCAATAAACGACCTAGTTAACGCGATGGTAGGCTTTTGTTCTTAATGAACGATGTAATTAAGTGAATGAACGTTACTCTGATTCTTTAATAATTAAATCATTCCTTTTCCCACCTTGATATTTATGTTCAATTAATGGCCGGTTTCCCAGCTACATTTAACAATTCTTTAGTGTTATTTGTCCTATAACTTCATAGTTTACGATTCTGAACTATGTAACATGAGTTTAAACTCAGTTCCAACAGGTAAACCCGATGAAACATAGGACAACATAATACTAATGAATGTCTTGGTAACGATGAAACAAATGAATACTTCAGAAACGCAGCATTAGAAATCACTAATAATTAACTTTAGTTTTAAATATGTTGCTGATTGATATTATCATCTATTCAGACGAGTTAAATGTATCTCGGAAACCGGGAGTTACTAAATGCCGTTATTTAACGTTTTTCATTTCAAGGTCACTTCAAGGTCATATACAATTTTCATTAATCTGTAATAATCATATGTAATTTCTAGAAATATTTTCAAGAGTACCGACGTCTCGCTAAGGCGATAGTAGAGGCTTTGCAGGACTCCAAGTTCGATGAGGAACTACTCTTCGACCTGAAGAAGGAGAATCAAGTATACCTCAATCGTACCATGTCTTGTATCATCAAGTATGTTGTTAAGAGGTAAGAATAAAATGCAACAGTACTGTCAAGGCGGCATGCCAGCAAGTCAGTCTTTTCCGACACACAGACAAAAGTGGACGTCATCAGCATACAGTATGGCTGTATTAACTAATCGAAAAAAAAGAAAATCACAGTTTCACTAAGCCTGTTTTATTATCTTAAACTATCGCACAACCTTTTTGCGAATTTAACTGTTTAGTTGCACAACTAAATATCGAGTAGTGTGCGCACCTCCATATAAGTTATTAGGAATCAAAGCGCGACTAAATAGTTGTGCGGTGGTTAGTCAAATTTATTTTAGAGTATATAGTGCGTACGATATACATGTTTCAGTTATTCTATGATTCCTTACTGTTTAAAATAATATATTACTAAGGTTGGACGTTAAATTTTGTGTTTGAGTTGCAAAGTTACAACGTATAATTGTGTTGTTGCAGGGAGGTGGACAACTACAGATCGCGGCGCACGGACGCCATCAGTCGTCGGATTTATTCCTCGCTCGTTATGAAACTGATCGACATTGCTAAGGTACAGTGGATTCTGTTGTCGGTGTCCCATTTGTATAATAATAATCGTGCTACAATACAATGTTATAATAACAAAAACAAGATACTTTTAATTTTTTGAAATGTGTTTGTATATATAATAATATCGGTCAATTTTATTATGTTATAGTAATGAAGGATTATGTTTTAGTACAGTAAAAATCCAACTGAGATTGTTTCGCTTTATCAAAAAATCTATAGCACTCTATATAGGTACGTGCGGATTTTAAATTGATGAGTAAATCCTGTAAATATCACACCGCCAAAGTACTCCACTGTACATCTCCGCACTCTGTTTAACGATCGCGTTCACAACGAGATGCCTCATAATTATAGTCGCGAGAAGTTATTGCAAAGCGGATAGTAAATTATACTTGATCGATTGTAACTGCGGTTAAAATATTTAATTGTTAAAATTTAAGTCCTAAGTTAGACTCAATTCCAATGAGAATTATTTCGGAAATTTACGTTGATTAACTCTGACAATATTACTAGTTATTTTAAGATACAAAAGTTATTCTAGATCGATTGGCTAAACCTTAATTGCGTACAAATGCGTATGAGTTATTTTTTACGAACTTGGTTATATGTTTCCAGGACTTGCCGCGCAACACTAGCGCCACGAACCGCATCGAGACCGCGCACAGATATTACACCTCGGTGGAAAACCGCGAACAGCACGACAAGATGGCGGACGCCCAGGTGTTCCATGCGAGTGCCAGACTCTATGACGTCATGTTTACTGTAGGTTACTCGTAAAAAACACTAGATGGCGTTGTAATCAAAAATTTAAATAATCCCTTTTTTTCTTGATCTCTTTTTTATCTTTTAGTTACATCACTTGATATCCAATAATTATACATAAACCAGGAATTCTCTTATATTATTTATGACACTTGTTATCAGACTCCTCGTGTGATGGCACATCTGGGCAATTTGGAGGACTTAACGCCGAAGTTGCTCACAAAACGCCTCATGGAAATGCAAATCAAACCAGTACATTTTGCTGTCGCCCTGCTGATACAAGTAACTGTTAAAGTATATTTAAAATTAACAATCATAACGAATGAAATTAAGAGACAGTAAAAACGTGCGCACACTTGAAACTAAACAATCGCACAATTGTTTAGTCGCTCTGATTTCTATTTAGTCAAGGGCGTGCGCCCAGTCTTAGAACATAAAGTGACATTTAATTTTTTTTTGAATATCGTTCTTCTATCCGCAGTACCACCTCCGTAATACAATCAACTTCGCAATCCACTCAAAGTGTCTGGACGTACTGAGCACCAAGCCTCAGATGGTGGGACCCAACGTCATCGACATGCTTAAATCGTTAGCCTCCAGACTACTGCCTGTTGCCGAACTTCTCGACATACATCTGGCGTATTACAGTCCAGCATTCAAAGACACCTGCCCCACTACGTGGCTGGGCATCGTCAATAATAAACAGCCTTGATCAAAGTTCTATCCTTATTGGTCTACCTAAACAAAATACTAACGCACGGAATTAAAATTTTTATAATACAATTTTTAATCTTAATGAAGATTAGATTAACTCGACTTAGCAGTTATATTATTGTTTACCATTTCCAGCATTATTTATCTTGATTACAAATTTTAAATTAGTGGTAACCCTTTATTACACTATCTATAATTATACAAAGATAAAGTTAACTTTTTCTTACGCTTAATGATTGGTACAAAAGAACATAGCCAAGTCATTGTTACAACAGCCTTTAGGAAAGCGAGGCAGGCATACGTAGCCAGCGGCAACGCTCTACGTTTGTAGACCCTCGTAGCACAACTATATTTACAAGAAAAAGGTATGAATTAATAGGTAGAGACCTAAGAGTTTAAGAGTGGTAGAGCCCGCTTTAACATCTTCGCACGAATGGGCCGGCTCGCCCGGTGTAATACCACGACCACACAGAAAACAGGCGTGAAGTGGAAGCAATTCCGCGTTTCGTCTGATGATAGTGGTGCCGGAGGCCTAATAATTCATTTCCCTTTCCACCCTTTTCTTAAGAGGAAAGGATGGGAAGGAAAAGTGGATTTGACGGTGGAGGAGACGCATAGGAAAGGGAAATATATCCTCTTTATGTGCGTCTCCTCCTCCGTCAATGAAGGGTAGGCAACGCATCTGCAATTGCGGATGTTTATGGGCAGCGATCGCTTTCTATTTCGGTGGATTCAGGTGGCCGCTTGCTCGATTGCCACCTTATATTATAAAAAAAAACCTAGGTCACTAGACGAAAAACATATAAATCGCAAATATACTTAAGTAATTGTAATGACAGTAAAATAATCACTACATAGTATAAAAAATCGCTTTCCGCTGTTTGTCTGTGCTTTTGTAAACTTAGGTCTTTAAACCTGTTAGCTTTTTAACTATTTTTGATATATTCTGTATTCTTAAAAGTTAATTGGTTATCTGTGCTATTTATCAATACATTCATACAATACAATATTGTTAGGAAAATATTAGGAAACGGAAGGAATAGTGGGGGGTAGTTTTATAAAATATATGGCAAGCAGTGGCTCGGGCGCTCGCCAACAAGCTCAGTGTTTTACTAGTCGTCACCACGGAACGTTCGATATCTTTGCGTTGTTACATTGGAGTTCAGTTTGTGTGTTTTACAGTAATTTACAAGTATTGTTACATTGGAGTTCAGTTTGTGTGTTTTACAGTAATTTACAAGTATTGTTAATATGGCTGTCCGTCTATACTTTAAAGGAAGTCATTTGTGTCGAAATATCTAACACTACGTATTGATTTTTGATGCGTTGTAATAAATAGTTATTCAAGACGAAGGTTCATATGTAAACTAGTTGTTCCCGTGCGACTTTATCCGCATGAAATTATGATAATTTTATTTTGTTGTTTACATTTGTCAAATTATTAATAGCAAATGTCAAAATGACATGACATGACAAACCTTGGCAATCTTGCTTCCTTGATGTTGGCAGCAACTTATGGTCTCTTTCCCACATTAGGGTTATTATTCAAATTATTTACTCCCTAAGTTTAATGGCGTGAAAATACATAGCCTAAAGCGTGACGTAAGTGTAGAGCTTTTTATTAAATGAAGAATTATTAAAAAATGTAATTGCTGACATCTAAGGCAACAAAGAAGTGTGTGTTTACGCTTTATTATAATAGTATAGATGGTACAGTAAAGAAATACATTTTCGTATCAGCATTGGACCCGTACGAAGCCGGATCAAAATACTAATAATGACAATCAAATCTCTAGAATTAAATCACGCAATTATTTGCTTGAAATGTTTTTTTTTTAAACTCATAGTTGTCAGTTGGTAACCTCTTGACCTAACCTCTCGTTAACACCGCATTATATTAATGTAACTCGTATTTATTTGTGCAATATTTATAATAAAAGCTAGCGAGGTGAGGGCGCGCCAGTCGCATTGTTGGCGCACATCGCAAACTGTGACACCTTGTTAATTGCTATTCTATTATTCATCCGAGAGACGAAAGAAAGCGATGTAGTTAATTGCATCTTTTTTTAAACGGTTTTTGTTTATTGTTCGTATGTGATGGTTAAGAAATATTTGTTATATTTCCAGTTGTAATAAAACTGTCGCAGTCACAAACAATATGTTACATTACTATTTGAATCTCATGGAAACTATATTGCTTCCTGATATAACCTTGATTGCGTCAAGCAACCTCCAATTTGGTGTAAGAAAATTAATAATACTTCCATATCTATTTAATTATCTGGTAGGAAGCCGCATAGACAGTCCCATCCATAAGCACTTAGTAAAAGATTGTAAGACTATGAGTTCTTCCAGACTATCCTCTACATCTATGCCAAATTTCATTAAGATCCGATCAGCAGTTCAGGCTAAATACTAATAAACATCCATCTAAACTTTCGCATTTATAAGCATTAGTATGATTTAAAAAATAAACAAAAGTTAAACGTTAACTAAGTAATACTGCGTTATAAAATAAATGCAAAATAAAATAATAACTAAGAGAACAACACTTTCCAGCGCCGAATGAATAATAGAGAAGCAATTAGTGGGGTGTCGGAGTCCGGTACGTGCCGTGGGTTTACACTGCGCTACAATGAAAACTTTACCTGCATTACCGTTTCACTAACGAGTTGTCGCTTTGCAAATTGGTGCAACAAATTACTTACTCGTAGACGCTATGCCTTAGCTAAGCTACGCGGCTACGCTACGTCGTAACCTACATAGCTACGCAACGACTTACAGAGCTAAGACATATGAATAGACCTGACATTACTTAAAAAAATATTTTTTATTAAATATGAAGGGAATGCGACTAATTACGTACTTAATACGTCTACAGTACATTTTTTAAGTATAACACAAGTAAATGTCAAGATTTCGTTCAGCTACAACTATAGTCAATGATATGTACAAAGCGGTCTACAAGATGAAGTTACAGCAAGTTACAAGGCAAAAGCGTACATTTAAAATGTAACTTAACCTCACCCAAGAGCCATTAACCCATCAGCTATAGACCTGAAAACAAGTTGAAAAACTTAAGTTGTGTTCGTGACAAATGAAATAAAAATCAATATGGAAGTATTTTTTGTATGTTAAATAGCTGCCATAGATATCAGTAGACTCGGCCTACTCTATTTAATAGCGAAAATTAATGCTATATTGATAGAAAAGCACTATAGGATTGTCATATCCTATACGTATAAAAAACCCAAGAAAAGATCTTCAAATATTTTTCATTGGAATATATAATTTTCATATGAAACTTAAAACAATTAAAATGACAAAACAACAGCATGTCTAAAGAAAGTTAGCTAACGAATCATAATTTTAAAAAAATATATAAATGAATAAATTATCATAGTTTTTTATTTAGTATTATAAATGCGAATGTTTAGATGGATGGTTGTTTATTAGAGTTTGTAGCCTAAAAGGTTGAACAGATCTGGATGAAAGGTCCAGATGTAGCCCATAGATTGGACGAACACATAGGTTAATTGCTGTTGTGTCGCGGGCGAAAACTAGTATTATTGTAAAGAAATAGTTATCTAACGAATTAATTTTGTTAATTGAATTTTCTTCGTTAGTTCGCTTGCGATAAACTGATTCCACATTTAATATTTAGCACGTTACTGCGGAAACGCTTGTGACAGTACTTTGAGTGGAAAAAACGTGATCTTGCATAAGAAGCGCATTTAAAATGGCCGCTGTAGTCGCATTATTATAGAAAGAGGTAAGAAGAAAACATTATAATTTCCTGTCTATGTTTCCCTTGATTAACAATCTTACTAATCTTACTAATATCTTACTAATATTATAAATGCGAAAGTTTAGATAGATGGATGGATGGATGGATGTTTGTTAGAGTTTGTAGCCTAAACGGCTTAAGGGATCCCAATGAAATTTGACATAGATGTAGAGGATAGTCTGGAAGAACACATAGGCTACTTGCTTTTGTTTTTTTTATTTCACGCGGACGGAGTCGCGGGCGATAGCTAGTTTAGTTTATAATTCGAATTGTAATCGCTAAAGAAATCATAGAAATGTGACAACACGCCAGTTGAATAAAACTATTGGAATACAACGAAATCCGCATAAAGAATGGGAACAAAGAAGTTTTCAATGTTCGAGAAATTGATACAACACTTGAAGATCAAAGGAAATACAAAGTTTCCACGTCAAAGTTTAACACGGACATAAATTCAAAACTTAACTCTTAAATGTATATCTCTGTTATGTAAATATACAAACAGTTTCCTTCTATCTATACTAAATACTAATGTATACTTAATATTACAAAGAATACTAATGAAAGGTGACATGGTCAAAAAGGGAGTGATAACTGTGATGACGGATGATAGAGTTATTTGGAGGACGAAAAACCGGTGCGCCGACCCTACGGGTGTAGGGCAGGGGAGATGATGATGACTTAATATTATAAAGAAGAATGATTTGTATTTTTGTATGTATTGAAATAACTCAAAACTACTAGGCCGATTTATAAAATTCTTTTTCCATTAAATAGCTACAATATCAGTGACATAGGCTATACTTTTTATTATCTTTTAATTTCTCGCGGACGAAGTCGCGAGCAACATCTAGCTAAATATAAAATCACTAGCGACTACAAACAAGAGAATGCTATTAGCAACTACTATTTCTACCCATTTTTATCTCAAAAGATGTACATTCTTTTCTTCTTAAGTTATAATATAAATGTAGAACATATCTTAATGACGGTTTAATGCATCTCTATTAAACTTGGAGAAACCATAGACAAATTAAATTCTTTTAACTCCACAGAGTTGACGGCGACAGCTAATTTGTAGTAACAAATTCAATCAATTTTATTGACCGACTTCCCAAAAGAAGGAGGTACTCATTTCGTCTGTATGTTTTTTTATGTGGTTACGGCATAACTCCGCCGCTAGTGGACCGATTTTAATAATTCTTTTTTTA